GCCTTCTCAACCACCCCAAAACATCTTCAATATGTTATAACATTTCACTGAAGCTTCTTTTCTTTGATATTTCATGGTAATTTTTTTCTATTTAATTTAAATGATGAAAACAATTATATAACACTAGGACTGTAAAATAATAGAGTTGTTTATTAATTTAAAGCATTTTGTGTGCCTTACTTGTGAGCTACTGTTTTTCCTCTATTCTGCCAAATTATATTGGATCAATTAGCTAATCTTCTTTCCATTTAGCCTCATGAATAATAGTAACTATTTTACATGGTAATAGAGTTATTAATTAATGACTACGTTTATTTTAAAATTAAAAGTGAAAATAAATGATTGGAATGAAGTTAAGAATGAAATTCTGAAAATACTAAAATATTAAAACTGCAGCATATTAATTCTGAAATTCCCTGGGTCTATAAATATTATTCACTAAATCATAATTATATAATGGCATCTCTGATGTTCCTGAAACCAACTCTCTAACATTTTGACTATATAAACATATTTTTGTTTTAAGACAATGTGATAAGTTTCCACTTTGCCACTGCATTAATGTGGATATGGCCATTTAATTTTAGCTGGCAGCAAAGCTCAAGCATGGAAATTAGGGATTGGGTCCACTCCAGCCTGAGTAGGCTTCTTTGGCTCTTGGCTAAAGACCATTCTGAGAGCCTCCTTGGCTCCAAAGAAGTCTATTTTGTCAAATTAAGGAGGCTGCACTCTCTCTGTGCTACATCCTTTTATTAAAAGGTTAACTTTTATAGCATGTTCTTTTATTTTCTTAGTTTGGTGTTAGTGGGACAGTAACCATTAATGTCAGAAAACTTGATGGCTGGTAAATTATTCTGACAATCTCTTTTCTTCATTCCCACCTCCAGCCCATCCTTTATGGAATTGCCCATAAGAAGTTTCTAAAATGTAAAGCTCAGCCTGTCCCTTCACTTAAATTCTTCAGTGACACTCCTCTCCCCCTCTCCCCGCTCCCCCCACCCCCTTCCCTCTCTCTCCTCTCCCCCCTACACACACTCATAGTTTTTGAAATAACATTTGAACTCCTTATCCTGGTATTCCAGACCCTCCAGGAACTAGCTGTTGCCTACCTTGCTTCTTACCACCTGTCTACCCTCACACCTCATGGCAACAGTACCAAACACTTGTAATGACTGAAGAGTGTCAAGCATATCATGACTTTGTACATATGCCTTTCTAGAATTCTTTGCCCCTTTCTTCATTCTGCCCATTTACAACTGAGATTACCTCCCTCAGGAAGTTCTCCCTGACCCCCATGCAAATGAAAATGTCCTTCGTCCATGTTATATAGCACCCCGTCTGTGCTTCAGTCACAGCGAGGTGAGCACGTGTCTTCTCTCAAAGTCCCCCACTCCCTCTAATCTTAGTGACAGCAGGAATGGTACCTTATGAGAATTAATTTTTTACATTCCTAGCACAGTGCTTGCTACAAAAAAAGGCCCTCAAATATTTATCAATTTAATGAAATGAGTGAGTGGGTCTACAGTCAGTTAGACGGTTATCGTGGCATGTAGTTGAGGCAGTAGAATTTGCTTCCTGAAAATAACATTTTCAAACAGTATCCAGTAGTTTCTCCATATCTCCCTATCCCCCTAAGTAGCTAGTGAGATAGCTAGCTGGAGCAAGAACACAGTCCTTTGGCTCTGAGGTAGAGCTTTTGCCTGGACAGACACAACTGCCTCCTGTTGGAAGGAACTACCCCAAGATCTTGTCCTTAGTAAGTATGACAGAATCAGCTGTGCCTCCACTTCAACACACCAGCCTAACAGCTTCTCTTCTAATCCTTTCCTCTTTCCAAAGGTGACATCTACACCATGAAGATGGATTTTTTTAGGGCTAAAGAAGTATAGATGGGCAGAAGCCCACCGACTTTTGCACAATGTCAGGAAGATCACAGACTCTGGGCCGGTTCATTGACCCTGGGTTACGATCTTCTGCTTGAAGTCCTCTCAGGATATGCCTCCTCATTCACTCCTTTGTCTTCAAAATGTGTAATCTCTCCTCTTCCAAACTCCTGGAATATGTGATCTAAAGCATAGTCTTTAGACTCCCTTTCTATCACCATTTTTCATCTTACCTAACCCAGGCACTGGCACTCCATGTGCACGAAGTAATCCTCTCCAAGCTGTCTTCTGCCGTCAGCATTCCAGAGAAACTGCCTTCACGGAGGAAACTGATGATCTTCTCCAAGTCAGATTCAGTGCCAGGGCTGAACTCTCCTTCATGAGATTGTCTCCAAACCTTTGAAACTCACCATCCTCTTGATTTCCATAGCATTGCACTGTTGTGCCTGACTCTTTCCTCAGGCCCCTTTCTTGAGCCACTTGGCTGACATCTCTTTCTTCTCCACTTTCTCTCACTCTTTTCTCTGATCTTTTCCCTATAAACCTGATCTTGGAAACCTCTCTACACACAAAAATCTCAAGTCTGTATCTCCTTTCCCAAACAACAAAATTTCCATCTTTTTCTCTTCTGAGATAATTTGTGGATACCTCATCTGTATGTCAAAAACAAAACACATTCCACCCAACCAGCTCACCCTCCATACTTTCCTATTTGGGTTTGTACCCAGTGTTTGGTTTCCAGCCAGTGTTGTCAGTGCCTCATCTGAAATTTACTTGGACTTGCCACTTCTACTTGCATTACCCACATCCCATGCCATGTTAGTACAACAGCCTCTTAAAACAAAACACTTCAGCAAATTCTAGAAACCAGGCACTATCCTAAGTCCTTTACATACTTTATCTACTTCAATCTTTACACCCTAGGAGTTTGTATCACTCTAATGTCTACAACATTAAAAAGCTGAGCTTTAATCTCGAGAAATTAAGTAACTAATAAATTTACTCGGACCACACTGCAAGAAGTGGTATCATGATCTGACACCAGAGTGTCTAATGCCAGAGCCCTTTGGGCTGCACTGCCTTTTCCAGGGTCCTCCGGTCCCTCTTTCTTTTCTTCTTCACTGTATCCTGTGCATCACTGCTGCCAGAAAAATACTCCTTTAACAGGGTGCCATTTTATCAGTTTCCTGCTCAAGGAGGAAGGAGACTTATTGAACACATATTGCTATATGAGCCTTTCCTGAACACCGAACACAGTGCCCTCTTCTTAGATTTCTCAACCTGCTCAGACTCCCTTCTCGAGGGGACTGAAATCATCTCCATAACAAACTCTGAGCTCAGCTGGTTGCCTTGACTTCAGTATCAACTGTACCTCCAGAGTTCCTCCCTTCATCAGCTCCAATGCTGAGGCCCTTGCTATCCAGGCCACCTCCCATTCCTCCCACCAGAGGGGAGGATTCAGACACCCCAAGTCCACAGTGGTGTCTGTTGCTTTTCAAATCTAGAGATTTTCATAACCTTCTCAACATATTGCTCACCATATCCTAACACCAACCAATCTGCACAGTCCACTTTCTTTTGTTCCACCTGGTAAAGTTAAGTTCCATTGCCTATTCGTTTCCTCACACAGTCCTTCACCCAGAAATGCCTTCAGGGTGGCCTCTGCCTTTCCAAACTGGACTAATTTTAATGCCCCACCTCAAATTCTGTTTGTTCTATAATTCCTTCCCTAACTATCCCAATCCTCTCCTTTCTCAGAACTCCTGTCGAACATATAATCTGCTCCACCTTACTTATCCATCACTACGATTATATTGTAATATACTGCTTTATATCTCCATAATGAGGAGGGCATGCCAAAGTGGTACTTTCTAGAACCAAGAGAGAGTCTTTCCCCAAAACAAATTCCAGTCTCACTCTTAGCAGAACCAGCTTGTAACACTCTAAGTGACACTGTCCATCTTGAAAGAAAATTTTAGAGATTTGATCCCCACCTGCCACCTCATTATAATGTACTATTATATGTGACTCATGTGTGTTAGCCCTGTCTCCCTGACAAAACCATAAGTTTTTAGAGGGCAGGGACCATGTCTCTTACTTGTATTCCCTGTGGTGTTTATAATGTCATAGCTCTATCCAGCAAGTAGTAAATACTCCTTTATTAACTCATGGATAATTCTCCATTCAGGAGCTCTATGCTAAATGCAGATGGATGCTTCTGATGTATTTATTTGTGACCAAAGACAAATGATTTTCAGACCAGGAAATTATTTCCCTTACTTTGTTCACGTAAAATGAGCAAAGCTCTTTTTCCCACATCTTTTGAAATATAGTACAAAAACCTTTTATGTCAAGGGCACATTTTGAATAGAATCTGAGAGACCCTTGAGAGGATTACAAATCTCAAACACTACCAAACAGGTCAACAGTACCTGTGATGCAAGCACTTCTACATCACAAGTCTCACAGCAAATTTAAAAGAAACTGTTCACAATTACTGTAGTATTTTTTTGATCACTCTTCAACAGTGTTGCTGTGTGAACAGAACTGTTTACTTTCCTGACCTCACTTTCTTATATTGTTGTAAATTAAAATTCCAACTCGTTCTGATAAACACTTTGGCACTGACCATATGCTAACACCAAATCTGTTATTTCCTGCCTCAAGTTGAACCCCATTCTCCACCACAAAGCTCAGAGCTCAGAACATGTAGTTCCATGTTCTATTGGACAGATATTACTGTGGTGGTACGTAAGCACAATTGTAGCAAAAATAAAGTCAACACTGAGCAGATTTGGGGGCATACTTGTGATGGTTCAGATACATTAGGGTTCAAAATTGGGGTGTAGCTGTAATGTGAGTTCAAGGTCATTATATAAAAAGGGAATACATAAATACTGAAAAATGTGACTTGAATAATTTGTCTTTAACACACTGAGCAGATTTGGGGGCATACTTGTGATGGTTCAGATACATTAGGGTTCAAAATTGGGGTGTAGCTGTAATGTGAGTTCAGGTCATTATATAAAAAGGGAATACATAAATACTGAAAAATGTGACTTGAATAATTTGTCTTACTAAGAGTTTATGTACACGGAGTATTTTTCTGTCCTTCAGTGACCAAAAATGAAGAAGTGAAAATAATTATGGTGAAACACTACAGAATAGGTTTAGATGAAAAATATGAAGTAACAAAAAAGTGGTCTTTGAATGACCTGCAGATGATTGATGGAAAAGAAGCAGATACCGTAAGTGTTATGTTTTATAAGGGAGTGTGGGGTCAATATGCTGAAGATCTTATGTTCAATGTTCTACCCCCTATATTCTTGGAATGTACTAAATGTTAAGATGACATTATATTGTTCTTAAATGGTATGGTTTAATCTATTGGGATGATCTGGTTTTTTAATTCTGTTTTTATAAGTTTAAATTTGAATTTTGTCTATGAAATTTAAAAGCATCATTCCCAAGGGCCTTTTAATGGGTTAAACACAATCTACCAGTCAATGCTGAAACTTTAAATATCACTTTTCCAAATACATATGTGATACTTCCATCACCAATCTCTCCCTACCCCTATTTTCTCTATAAGTTCTGGGTTCCTTCCCTTATCTTCAAATTTTACTGTCAGCAAACCCACTTTATCTACCAGAAGGTCCATATAACTCATGGAATCCTATAATCTTAGAGGTGAAAGGGGAGAAAGAGTGAATATACCAATCTCCCCACCTGACCACTTGACACGTGGTTTTCCCAGTCTGTCCTTGAACAGTTCTCCTTGAATGGAGAACTCACTCCCCACTTAAACTTTATATCTCCTCCATGCTGAAGTACTGACTCTTGAGGCTTAGGATGCCCAATCACCCGCATCTCTTACCCCATTCCCAGATTTCCCATTGGGTAAATTCCCAATTCCTCAGCTCCATGCACCCATTGCATTATGGATGTAAATGTGTTATAGCCATAATCCTACAAATTGCAATTGTTGGATTACTCTGAATTCCCTCTAGATGGAAAACTTCTTAAAAACTGGGACCAATGATATCTCACCCTTTATCATAGCCTTCTGCCTGATAGATATTAGGCACTCAATAAGTATTTGTGATGTTACTCTTGAATGAATTAGAACCTAAGCTCGTTTATTCTTAATCGTAATAAATGCCGTATTCTTAGTTTGGCCTATTGTTCCAAGCTATCAAATCTTCTGTCTTGATTTTTTAATATCACTATAGTATAACACAGATGTAATGAGCACAATATTTAGGACTTCATCCAAGACAATAATAAAATTGGTGAAGCAAGCAAGGTCAAATACATACCTCTAGGTAATTGACGGTTATCATGACTACTAGTAGTAGTACTGTTACCCGCTACCATCTCACATTTAGTAAATTTTTACAAGGTGCCAAGAACCAAACTAAACCCTTTCCATATATAGTTTTAAATAATCATCACAAAACCCCATGAATTAGATTCTATTATTACTACTATTTTACAGATGAAGAAAATGAGACTTAAAGAAACTAATTGACTTTCCCAAAGTCATATAGTTATTAAATAACAGAGCTAGACTTTAACCAGAAATCTATTAATTTGTCTTCTTTAGGTTGGTTGCTTAATTCCTCTACAAATTCATATATTCTTTTGTTCATTCATTTATTAAGGATTTATGGTATACCAGGGCCTGCCAGGCTCTGAAGATACAGTGGAGAAGTAGACAGCCATAAGCACTTAATTCTGCCCTAATTAATTAATAATCATCTAATCTGAATATCTAAATTTTATATATTAAATTTCACATTTATTTTCTTTACTTAAATCAATATATACTATCTGCTATTACCTTGACTTATCACCTAAGAATCCTATTTTCAAAATTTAGTGTGTGTGGCACAATGTCTTCATGAAAGAATGCTGTATCTCATTGTTTTGTTTCCCAACTATTCACATAGCATTTTTCTGACAATATATTCTACCTAAATATCTGACATTTAGGAAATAGTTAAATATACTATTGCATATCCATATGACAGAATATTATGTAGCCACTACAAAACATGTTTTCAAAGGAATACTTCAGAACACAATTGTTCACTATTTAATACGTTTTTTCAAAGTTTTTAAATTTTTTTTAAAACTTTTTTGACAAAGTTTTGAATACCCACTTTTCTAAAATATAGTGTCAATTTTGCATACTTAGTCTATCATATTATTGAGACCCAAATCTTAAATTTTAAGCAAAAATTACATGTAGATATGTATGTGTGTATCACATGTATATGTAAAACAAACCAGGACGTAAATAATAGTTATCTCTGTGTGATAGGATCAAAATTTCTTCAGTTATTATTTTCTTCTTTATATTTTTCTGTATTTACTAAATTTCTATACTGCGTTGAATTTTATCAGAAATCCATATCAAGTTCACTAATCTGTAGTTTCAGGAATTAACCATTCCCACCCCAATTTTTGGCCCATTGTTTTTCTTTTGTTTTCTTTTTCTCAAGTTCTCAAATGTTACAATTATCATAGTTATTTTCTACAAGTTTGGCCAGTGCCTGGGGAGGTATTTATTAAACTTGTCAACTTAGTCTCCCCTGAAACAACTAGCTGTTCTCTATGTTTTCCTCACCTTTCTTGGCTTTTAATTCCATCCAAACGTTGATTCTTCCCTTTTCAATTTGAAGATGATTATCTTTGATAGTGAACTAGACACAAAAGAGAAGTTGGCTATTTCCATTTTTTTCTCCTAACTTTAGGACCTAAAATATTAAATTGCCGGAAAAGAAACTATAGTATCCAAAGAATAGTTCTCTTAAAAATTTCTTTTCTATGGATGAAGTAAAAATATCTTGGCTGTTCTGGGAATTTCTTCTCTTTCTTGGAATTGAATCCTCAGGAGTCATTATTTATTACATTTTTTTTTCAACAGCAATGATACAGTTTTATATAGAGCAATTTCAAGCCAAAAAGTTGTCACCTTTAAAATGGAATGGAATTGAAATGGAAGTCAATTTGTAAAGCAGAAATCAAAATAAATAGAGATTTGGAGGTGCAACAGGAGACAGGATGATGTAGCAAAAAGTGGGGTTGGGCTGACTGAGATCTTGGTTTTTATCCTGGCTTTGCCAATAGCAACACATGTAACCTGGAATTTGCCTCTGGAAACTATTATACCAGCCAAACACAGGAGATTACTAACTGATCTGTGACATCCCCTGTTAGCTCTAGAATTCTATCAAAGGGAAGAGAGAGAGAGAGAGAGAGAGATGTAGTCTATGTGCATGTACGCTCAGCCTTCTATTATTAGGCTAAAGGAAAAGATCAATTCTGTCCAAGTATCTTAAAAGCATGAGGGATATTTTCTACCTGATGAAGAGCAAATGTTTGGGACAGAAAACAACATAAGATGCATGATTAGTATCTGGTGATGCAGTGGATGTGATTTCCTTTTATTGAGATTCTCGGCAGAATTGTCTTTCAAGCTGCAGTTATGATAGCTGGAAAAAAATTGCCAGTGACTAAGGAAGCACTGCATTTAAAAATTACATCACCTTTGTACATTCTTTTTTAAAAGCATTGTTTTGTTTTTAAATTTTTTAATGGTATAAAGTAAGGTGGTATTAACACCAATATCACAATCTTTGGAGGCAGATTTGAGAAAGGTAACTATTATTTATTAAGCTCCATACTAGTTTATGTGATTAATCTCTGTAAGTTTCACAACAACCCTATCTAAAATGAGAAAAATGAGACTCAGATAAGTACTTTGCCCCTGGTTACATCAGAGAGTCAAAACAGTTGTCTAACTTGAAAACCCATGCTCTTTTTCCTGCCTCCTGCAAAAATTTTCCTATTTGAAAAACAAACTGCAAAGACATAGTTGCTTATATATAATACTGACATACGACATGCTAACAAATTATTAATACTGTGATTTGGTTTCAGACTCTTTGTCACCTAGGGCAACGTTTACCTCCAGTTCTCCTTTCATAGGACTACTTGAGATCAGTTCCATACACATTTGTAGTTGTCATGGATAAGCTAAATAATGCAAAATCTCAGTCCTAAAGGAGACTCAGGAGTTAGGCAGATAATGAATGTGAAAGCATTTTGTAAACTTTATAAATACAAGGCATTGTTGTTACTGCTATTAATAACAGTAGCAATTATTATTATTTTAACATGTATGACCTAGATCAGCTTTGATGTTCACTTTTTTTTTGAAATATTTACACTAGAAATACAGCAAGAGCCTAGAGGCAGTCTTTAGTATTTTGACAGTTTCAATCAAATGATTTCATGATTCTTGCTATTCCATTCAAAAGTAATTCTTTGATATTAACTTCAAAGACAGCAGGTTGGTGATCTGTAATATGACAATAGCTAATTAGCTATCCTATATTTCTCCCTTCTCCCTTTGAAATAGCACAAAGAACTAACCTCCTACTAAAGAAAAAGAGAAACTATTTTCACTTCCAGAAGTCTATAAGTGAGTTTACTCTCTTCTTTCATCCCTACCAATCCTCTCTAACTCACAACATTGGAAAGACTTGATAACTGCACATTCTGAGGCATGTTTTATTTGTATAATTGAAAAGACACAGATGCTTCAAAAATAATCTTTCTTGTTGATTTTTTAGATGCAATTATATTTGAAGAAGGTTGCTCTGGATAGCTCATTTGTAGGTTTTAGAAATATATTTTATACTGATACTTTACAATCAATAAACATACCCAAGAGAATATGAGAGAATCCAGGAAACTTAGCTACTTCTTGGCTACAAACTAAATCATGTCTTTCTCTTCCAGGACAATCCATTTTTTGATCTGCACTTCAAGAAAGTGTACAGTTTGGAAGCATATAGCTGTGCTTCTAAATATGCCTTTGCTCGAACTGTAAATAAGCTGAATCATGCCTATCTTAAGAAGGACTTACAAATTGTGAACTTTGATTCTACTTACATTAATGATGATTCCATTTGGTCCTCCAACAACAAGGATTGCTTGGTCCTTATGAGAATATGCTTTTATGCTTTCAATCTTGTATGCTTGTCCCTATGTCCCTTGCCACTCTGAAGAAGTATACCATGTTCCTTCATCAGTGTCCTATGAAAATGGTTCCTGAGGTAAATATTGAAAGTCATAATGTTGTTTTTTTCCTTCATCAGTGACTATTATTTATATGAAAATAAAGTAATGCTTTGTGAATTGCAGTGAAATGTGTTTTAATGCAATCATTCAACATTTGGGGCTTTTTGCCACTGTGTTCCTTGGCAACTTTGGAAGTTGGATGGTCTTGACTAAATTAGTATTCTGCTAAAAAGTATGCAAAAGCATCATGAAACACCTAAATATATGGAAGGACATCTTGTATTCATGGATAAGAAGACTTAATAAAATCAAGATGTCAATACTACCCCAAATGATCTGCAGATTCAATGAAATTTTTATTAAAAATCCAACAGCATTTTTTGCAGAAATGTAAAAATTGATGTCAAAATTCATATGGAAATCAAGGGTCTCCAAACAGCCAAAGAATCTTGAAAAAAAAAGTATAAAGTTGGAGGACTCACACTTCCTGGTTTTAAGACTTACTATAAAGCTACGAAAAATTGATGTCAAAATTCATATGGAAGTCAAGGGTCTCCGAACAGCCAAAGAATCTTGAAAAAAAAGTATAAAGTTGGAGGACTCACACTTCCTGGTTTTAAGACTTACTATAAAGCTACAGTAATCACAACACTGTGTTACCTGCATAAGGATAGGCCTATAAACCAATGGAATACAATTGAGAGTTCAGAAATAAACCCATACATCTTTGGTCAACTGATTTTTGACAAGGGTGCCAAATCCATTCAAAAGGAAAAGAATCTCTTCAACAGATTGCACTGGGATAACTGTATATTCACATGCAAAAGAGTGAAATTGGACCCTGACCTCACACCATATATAAAACTTAACTCAAAATTGACCAATTACTTAAATATAAAAACTGTATACATAAAACTCTTAGAACAGAACATAGGGTTAAATATGAAGGAACTTGGGTTTGGCAATAGATTCTTGTGACATCAAAAGCATGAGCAAAAAAAAAAAAAAAACATAAATTGGACTTCATTAAAATTTAAAACTTTTTGCATCAAAGGACATTATCAAGAAAGTGAAAGGATGAGAAAAAATATTTTCAAGTTATATATCTGATAAGGGCTTAATTCCCAGAATATATAAAGAATCCCTACAACTCAGTTATAAAAAGACAACCCAATTTAAAAATGGGCAAAGAACTTGAATAGAGATTTCTACAAAGAAGATATACAAATGGCCAATATCATCATTAGTCATTAGGGAAATGCAAATCAAAACCACAATGAGGTACCACTTCACACCTACTAAGGAACTTACAAAGAAGGTATACAAAAGGCCAATATCATCATTAGTCATTAGGGAAATGCAAATCAAAACCACAATGAGCTACCACTTCACACCTACTAAGGAACTTAAAAAAAAAAAAAAAAAAAGGCCAATATCATCATTAGTCATTAGGGAAATGCAAATCAAAACCACAATGAGCTACCACTTCACACCTACTAAGGAACTTAAAAAAAAAAAAAAAGTGTTGGATGTGGAGAAATTGCCTCATACATTGCTGGTAGGATTTAAAATGTTGTAGCCATTGTGGAAAATAGTTTGGCAGTTTCTCCAAAAGCTAAACAGAGAATTGCCATATGACCCAGCAATTCCATATCTAGGTATATACCCAAAAGAAGTGAAAGCAGGGACTTGAACAGGTGTCTGTGTATCAATGTTCATTGCAGCATTATTCACAACAGCCAGAAGGTGGAAACAATGCAAGTGGCCATCAACAAATGGATAGACAAAATGTGGTACAATCATACAATGGAATATTATTCAGCTTTAAAAAGGGATGAAGTTCTGATACATGCTACAACATGGATGAACCTTGAAAATGTTATGGTAGGTGAAATATACCAGACACAAAAGGACATGTATAATTCCCTTTATATGAAATATCTAGAATGGGAAACTTCAAAGACAGGAAG